GGAAGGGAGGAGTAGGTTGCAGAATTTGAGGAGATGGAGGATGAGGGAGATTAGGATATGTTGAAGTTTCCTAGTAGGAGGGCAGAAGTAGAGTGGGGAAAAAAACTGTGAGGCTATTAATTCATAGGAAAAGGAGAAAAAATGTCTTGGGGATTGGGAGATAAGGACAACCAGGATCAGAATTGGGCAATAAGTTTAGATAGCATGAACCTCAAAAGAGAAGATGCTGAGTAATAGTGTTAGAGGAAAAGTCTAGAGGCGATGATAGTGAGTTAGGAGTATTTTGTCTCCTCCATTGGGATCATTGGGTTGAGGTTGGGTTTTGAGAGAAAACGCAACCGGCACTAGAAGGGATGGCTGGGCAGGAAGGTCTTGGCGAAAGAAAGAAAATGGGAGGGGCTAGAGGGCCGAAGTTTAAAGTGAAAGGAATTTTGTTAATTTTGGTGCAGGAGTTACAGAGGGCACTGGGAACAGAGAAATGATGTCTGCTTTTTTCCCCGTGTATATTTATTAATTATTTTTCTCCTTTTGCCCGTGGAATAGTTAATGTATTGTCAATTCTTTTCATCTCTATCTTCACAATATTTTTGTGTCCCCTTTTCTCCAGTCACAGAGCCACCAGGCTGGTCAAGGTCTACATCAACTTTCACATGGACTATTGCAATAGTCTTTCAATTGATCTCCTTGCGTCATCTGTCTTGACTTCAAACCATCTTCTGTTTGCTGATAAAGTGATTTAAAAATATAATATATATACTCAATAAACTCTGGTGACTTCCTATTAACTTCCAGATTAAGTCTAACATTCATTGGTCGACAATTTGAGCTTTTTACAATCTTCCTACCTTTCCACCTGTGTTTCCTCCCCTCCATCCACACTTTGACCCAGTAATACTGGCTTATTTGATGTTCCTCACATGTGCTTTTGCTCTGGCTGTTCCGCATACCTGGAATGTTCTTCACAATTTTGCCTCTTAGAATACCTGCTTTCCTTCAAGACCCAGCTCAAATCTCCCGTCCTCTAGGAGGCCTTTCCCAGTTTTGTCAACAGCTAGTGCTTTCCCCTCTGAGACTACCTTTCATTGTTTGTATTCATTCCCCTAGTGCCTCACCTAGAACATAGTAGGCACGTAATTACTTGTTGATTAATTACTCTGCACATATGTTATATGTACTTAATTATTTTTGTTTTCATATTGTCTCTAGACAATATAACCATGAGCTTCTTGAAAGGACAGACTATTTGGCACATCCTATTCAAATTTGCCACAGTCTAGGCCACTCCTAGTTGATATAGAGAGCATATAAGAAATCTGTTACCTCCACAGCAAGGTAGATCGAGTCTCTCCTCTGTCTAGAATTGGCTTATCTGCAAACAAGATAGTTCTTTTCATCGATGTCCCCAACCTAACACAGTGCCTTGCTTAATAAATGCTTAATTAGTTGAATTTAATTGATGAAGGAGTCAAAAGTGTCACTGAAGTTGACTGGGAATGTTCAAGTATCAATGACCAAAGCAGTTAAGTTGGGGGGTAGGAATCTCATCAAGGGAGATCAAATAAGAAAGCATGAAAACAAAACCTCTCCTCTTTGGTGTAGAGATTTCTAAAATTTTTAAATAGCAATTTACAAGCTGATCAACAAGCATTTATTAAATACTTACGGTTTATAGTGTCCTAAGTATTGTGTTAAGTGATGACTATACCAAAAAAGAAAAAGGCAAAAAAAAATATTGTGCCTGCCTGTAAGATCATATTCTAATGAGAGAAAAAACATGCAAACTACGTACATACAAGTTATACACAGAAGTACAAGAGATAGAGGACCTGGACAGGTCTCCTGCAAAGGATGGGATCTGAACTGTCTCTTTTTGGTTGCAAAGTTTTATTAATATGTTTTATTATTATATTACATAAATTTATAAATTGCTTCCATTTCAAGAGAGGTCTTTGGTAACAAAATAAAATGGAAATTAAAACTAACAATACAATGAACTCATCTAAAAGTGCAGGCAGCATTTCACATCTTTAGTACCCCTTTCCTATTAAAAAAAATCAACACAATCTATTTTCTTTCGCTCCCACTCCCACTCCATTAAAGATAAAATAAAAAACAAGGTAACAAATATGGACAGTCAAGAAAATCTCCCTAATGACAATACACAAAATTATCTGTGTTCAATTCTGCATTCCAAATCCATTACTTCTCTATAATGGATAGCATGTATTTATCTTGGGTCTCTCTTGAAGGAAGCCAGGGAAGCCAGTAGGCAGAGATGAGGAGGGACAACATGCCAAGCATGGGGTACAGCCAGTGAAAAGACTCAGATACTAGAAATGGAGGGTTATTTTCAAGGAAGAGGAAAAATGCCCTTTTGGTTTTGCATCTCTAATCAATGAGTGTAAGAAAAAGCATTTATTAAGGATTTACTACATACCAGGCACTGAAGTGAGTGCTAGGGGGTGAAAATACAAAAGCCAGACAGTTCTTGCCTTTGAAGAACTTATATTCTAATAAAGGGGAGAAATAGGAAGTTAGGTGGTGTAGTGAATAGAGTGCCAGCCTTGGATTCAGGCTGAGTTCAAATTTAGTTTCAGACACTTACTAGCTGTGTGACCCTGGGCAAATCACTTAATCCTTTCTATCTCAGTTTTTTTATCTGTCAAATGACCTGGAGAAGGAAATGGTAAACCACTCCAGTATCTTTGCCAAGAAAACCCCAAATGGGTTGGATGTGACTGAAACAACTGAACAAAAAGGGAGAAAACATATATGAGAGTAGTGGACAAAAAAAGAAATTTTGGTCTGGGAAGTTACACAGATGAGTGGAGACATAGGACAGTCAATTTCAGTCAATAACAATATTGATTTGATTATTGTTCCCAGAGCAAGTGGTAGAAAAGGGGGAAGGATCATGTTGAGGTAAGGCAGGTCTGAAAGTAGGCTGGGATTAGAGAGAATAATGATTGAGTCTACTGTCAACTAGAGAGTTAGGACTCACTTATCTGGACAGCACAGAAATAGGCTTTACCCAATTGGAAGAATATTATTGTATTGAAATGTCCTTACTTTAACTTGGCCCTTGCAACGTTTCTGCATCTACTTAATGCTAATAATTCACACAGGTAAGTGAATTTGAGGGTTACAAAAATGTTTTCCTTGCAACAGTCCTATGAAATTATGCCAGAAAATAAGGAAATAAGACATCCAAGATCACATAATAAATCATTTATTAAAAGCATTTATTAAACACCTACTTGGTTGGTTTTTGTCCTTAAACACCTACTGTATGCCAGGAATTGGGGATATAACGACAAAATTAGAACTCTCCCTGCTTTAAAGACCTTACCTTCTATTGGCCCCTAGGTGGCGTTGTGGGCAGTGTGCTGATGACCCGAGTTTGACTGCACCAGGCACTTAAAGGAGTAGGGAGACCAGGCTAGTCACTAAAGTCTCTCCCAGCCTCAGTTTCCTCATCTTTAATTTGGGGTTAATAATGGTGTCTACCTCATAGGGTTGTTGTCAGGATTAAATAAGCTAGCAAATGCAAAGTACTTTGCAAACTAAGACATTATATAAATGCCGTTTAGCTATTGGGCGAGGCAACTTATGGGTATATCAGCATATATATATATATATATATATATATACACACATATATACATATAGGAGGAAATCAAGATAACAGATTTACGGCTGTTAAGGATCTTAGATTTTAGGTTAACTGATGTCCAGAGAAGTTACACAATTTACCCAGGGTCAAACAGCTCAGTGTATGAGGCAGGCTTCAAACAGGTTTGTTTTCCTACTGCCAAGTCCAGATCAGCAGACATCAATTCTGGATTTTCCCTGCCATTCCCATTCTAGTATACTCAAAGAACATAGTAGCAGTTACATGACACAGTGGAGAGAGTACTGGACTTGGCGTCAAGAAGACTTGTTTTTATCCTGACTCTGACATTTACTACCTCTCTAGTTCCTGGACAAGGAAGTCTCTTTGACTGCAGTTTCTTCATCTAAAATGAGGTGGTTGGACTCCGTGGCCTCTTCCTTTCAGCTGTAAAACTAGGCTCTGAATTGGAACTGAAAGGGGCTTAGAGGTCATCAGTCCAATCCCTACCTCAGGTAACTAAAGTACCAGGATTTTTAAACCCAGATTCCCTGGCTCCAAGTCCAGGCATCTTTCCAGCTCTTTCCTCTGTTTCATGCAGA